TTGAGCACTATTTTAACAGTGATATTTCTATATCACTCTACAATTGATGTATTCAGCACTATTTTAACAGTGGTATTTCTATATCACTCTACAATTGATATATTGAGCACTATTTTAACAGTGGTATTTCTATATCACTCTACAATTGATGTATTGAGCACTAGTTTAACAGTGGTATTTCTATATAGCTCTACAATTGATGTATTGAGTACTATTTTAACAGTGGTATTTCTATATCACTCTACAATTGATGTATTGAACACTATTTTAACAGTGGTATTTCTATATCACTCTACAATTGATATATTGAGCACTATTTTAACAGTGGTATTTCTATATCGCTCTACAATTGATATATTGAGCACTATTTTAACAGTGGTATTTCTATATCACTCTACAATTGATATATTGAGCACTATTTTAACAGTGGTATTTCTATATCACTCTACAATTGATGTATTGAGCGCTATTTTAACAGTGGTATTTCTATATTACTCTACAATTGAGGTATTGAGCACTATTTTAACAGTGATATTTCTATATCGCTCTACAATTGATGTATTGAACACTATTTTAGCAGTGGTATTTCTATATCTCTCTACAATTGATGTATTGAACACTATTTTAACAGTGTTATTTCTATATCTCTCTACAATTGATGTATTGAACACTATTTTAACAGTGGTATTTCTATATCTCTCTACAATTGATGTATTGAACACTATTTTAACAGTGGTATTTCTATATCTCTCTACAATTGATGTATTGAACACTATTTTAACAGTGGTATCTCTATATCACTCTACAATTGATGTATTGATTTTAACAGTGAAAATATATGATTAAATATCAGTGATAACCATGCCTACCTGCTCGTGTACTCAGTAAGTCGTACAGATCATGTATAATTATCATGGCTTTATCCACCTCTTCTCTTGTATAACATCTCTATAAAATATACAAAATATCACACTATTACATCCAGCTAGCTACCAGTTAGTGCTATAAATGCTCACAAAACTATCTTAGCTGATAAGCTAGCACTTTGTGAGACGATGGCAGTTATCTTGCCAAATTCATACATGTCTTGATGGAATCATTAATGGTTCAACTTTGTATAGATTCTACAATTAATGCCATATTTGGCCTTTGTCATGGTTAAAATTCTCAAAAACTAGCGATCTAAAAGTGTGTCAAACGACTAACATAAAAAGTGACAGTTTTTGTCTGACCCTAATCGTGCAAATATTCAATCAGCATGCCATGTCAAAAAAACATGTAGGGTCAGAATTGTTGAGCTATATGATCAACTGAACATAACAACAATGTTGTAGAAATCTTGTGTTTTATTCCATAAATGATTCAATATTGTTTGAGATTTCAAACAAAATTAATCAAATAACTAATTTACCTCTGTGGCCAGTTGTTCCTCATCAAAATCTTCACAAAGTAACAAATCAGATCTTGCTCCTAAAATAAAATATTATCAGGATAAACATGTAGAATAATTAATCAAAATACCGGTATTTATTAATCAACAAAGAAGTTATTCTGGTTAATGAATTTAATCAAATTCTTGGAATAGTCAATAGGTAAGATGTGTA